CCTGGCAACTGGGCACAGCCCCCCCCAAATCCCAGAGGTGTGGGCTTTTCCCGAGCTTGCAGCTGCATCGAGATATGCAGAGCTGTGTGCGCTGCGCCAGGGGCACCTGTGCCACCGCTGCCATGCCATGCCATGCCCCTGCTCCGTGTGGAGGGTGCAGCCTGGCCTGACCGTGCCAAGCTGTGCTGGGTGCTGACAGCCACCACTGTGCTCTCTACGCCCTCTCCATGGGTATGGCAGTGGCTGCAGGGAGCAGGAAGAGGCTTTTGAGGTGCATCTCTTGGGGGGAGCTCAGGGACGGGGATGTTCTCCAGGTACCGTCAAATGTTGGCTGCTTTCTCTGTCTGGGAGCTGCACATCTGTGGGAGGTCTCTGGGGAGCAAGGTGTGGCCGCCCCAGAGATCCCAGAGCCCAATTCCCTCCCGGCAGGCCGACATCGAGCAGCTGGACCCCCGAGGACGCACCCCACTGCACCTGGCCACCACGCTGGGCCACCTTGAGTGTGCCAGGGTGCTGCTGAAGCATGGAGCCGACGTGGGCAAGGAGAACCGCAGTGGATGGACAGGTGAGCGGGTGGCTCATTGCCTCTGTCCTCCATCAGGTTCCCCAGGCACAGGCACAGAAATGGGCATGGGCATGGACATGGGCAGAAGCACAGGCACGGGCATGGCTCACCCTGGTGCTGCAGGTCCCCAGGGGACTGTTCACATGGTGGTCTGTGCCTGGGGCTCCTGTGCAGTGCCCAGCTCTGCAGTGCCATGTGTGCTGTGCCGTGCCACGGCCCTGGGCACTGCCCCTCTGCCCCACAGTCCTGCAGGAGGCCGTGAGCACCCGTGACCTGGAGCTGGTGCAGCTGGTCCTGCGCTACCGTGACTACCAGAGAGCCATCAAGCGCCTGGCCGGGATCCCCGTCCTGCTGGAGAAGCTGCGCAAGGTACCTCCCTCCTCCCCTGGGGCCTGCGGGGGGGCTGCCAGCCACAGGCTCCTCCTGACCCCTCTGTGCGCTCCACAGGCCCAGGACTTCTATGTGGAGATGAAGTGGGAGTTCACCAGCTGGGGTGAGCTCAGGGCAGAACGTGGCTGTGGGAGGAGCGGGAGTTTCCCAGCAGAGTCCCCCACCCTGGCACCCATCCCCATCCCCAGGTCAGGGGTCACCTGCCCCTTTACCCCAAGACACCCCAAGCTTGCAGACCCCCATTGTGCCAAGGCGTTGGGTTCCCCAGGCACATTCCCCACCCAGCTCAGCGCTGGCAGCCCACTTGGGGGTGCTGGTGGCCCCATCCCTGGCTGGGCTATCGGCATCTCTCCCCAGTGCCACTGGTGTCCAAGATCTGCCCCAGCGACACCTACAAGGTGTGGAAGAGCGGCCAGAACCTGCGGGTGGACACCACGCTGCTGGGCTTCGACCATATGACCTGGCAGCGGGGCAACCGCAGCTTTGTCTTCCGGGGACAAGGTGAGGTGGCCCCAGCGTGTCCCTCTGCCCTCACCGGGGAGCGCTGGCAGACTCTCGTGGTGCTGCAGCGGGGCCGGGTGATGTGGTGGGGACCGTGGTTGTCCTGACCCTGCTCCCTGCAGACACCAGTGCGGTGGTGATGGAGATTGACCACGACCGGCGGGTGGTCTACTCGGAGACGCTGGCCCTGGCCGGCCACGACCAGGAGGTGCTGCTGGCTGCTGTGCAGCCCACGGAGGAGCAGGTGATGGGGCGGCTGACGGCCCCCGTTGTCACCACCCAGCTCGACACCAAGAACATCGCCTTCGAGAGGTGGGCAGGGGTGGCACCGAGCCCACCCCCAGGGGTGCGGAGCACCCTGGGCTGTCCAAGCAAGCCCATCCGTTGCTCACGGTGCTGTGTCACCCCAGGAACAAGTCCGGGATCCTGGGCTGGAGGAGTGAGAAGACAGAAATGGTGAATGGGTATGAGGCCAAGGTGAGGGGCAGCAGGGGTTGAGCCACCCAGAGGGGTATGGCCAGTTGCAGGTGGGGGTTACACCTCTGCCATTCCCCTCCTCGTCCAGGTCTATGGCGCATCCAACGTGGAGCTGATCACGCGGACGCGGACTGAGCACCTCTCAGACCAGCACAAGGGCAAGAGCAAAGGTGCAGCCGGCGCGGGCTGGGTGGGCAGGGCACCCCCGGCTCTGCCCTCACCCTCTCCTCTCCCGCAGGCTGTAAGACCCCCCTGCAATCCTTCCTGGGCATCGCAGAGCAGCACGTGGGGCCCAACAACGGGGTGAGTGTCCCAGAGGTCTGGGGGGGTTGCCCTGCACTCAGACCTCCCCCCATCACCCCACAGGGCTTTCTCCCCACGCAGACACTGATCACGCAGACGCTGAGCCACGCCAACCCCACCGCCATCACCCCTGAGGAGTATTTCAACCCCAACTTCGAGCTGGGCAACCGGGACATGGGACGGCCCATGGAGCTCACCACTAAGACACAGAAGTGAGAGGGGAAGGAGCAGATGGGGACCCCTGTGTGTCCCCACCCCCACCACTGCAGAGCCCCCAGGGGGGCAGGAAGGGGTCTGCAGCCCAACGCCTGTCCCCGTCAGGTTCAAGGCGAAGCTGTGGCTGTGCGAGGACCACCCGCTGTCCCTCTGCGAGCAGGTTGCCCCCATCATCGACCTCATGGCAATAAGCAACGCGCTCTTCGCCAAACTGCGCGACTTCATCACCCTGCGCCTCCCGCCCGGCTTCCCCGTCAAGATCGGTATGGGGGGGGCTCTGCTGCTGGCCTGGCTGGCACAGCCAGCTTCCCTCCCTGCTTTTTTTTCTTCCCCTTCCTGCAGAAATCCCCATCTTCCATATCCTCAACGCCCGCATCACCTTCGGCAACCTCAACGGGTGCGACGAGCCCGTCAGTTCCCTGCGGCACAGCCCCAGCAGCGAGGCACCCTCACCCAGCAGTGACTCCTCCAGCGTCAGCAGCTCCAGCTCCCTCAGTATGTGGGGTGGTGTGGGAGGGAGGGGTCCCAGCAGGATGAGGCAGATGTAGTTGGTGAGGCAAGGTGGGAATGGGTCCCAACGGGGTCAGGGGGACATGGCTGGTTGAGAGGGAAGAGGTCCCAGTGAGATGAGGGGAACACGGCTGGTGGGGCAGGAGTGGGTCACAGCAGGGTGAGGGACACATGACTGCTGGGGTGGGAGGGGTTCCCTTGGAGTGCCCAGCCACGCCGGCTCCTGTCTCCCCACAGCCTCGTGCCGAGCGTGCGAGATGGACCCGGCGCTGTTCGAGGTGCCGCGGGGGTACAGCGTGGTGGGCACCCACCAGGATGCCCTGAGGGAGGATGAGGATGACCTGCTGCAGTTTGCCATCCAGCAGAGCCTGCTGGAAGCCGGCAGCGAGTACGACCAGGTGGGCATTGCCACCCCCCTCCCTCCTGCTGCCCGCCTTGGCTGGGGGACTCTGCTGCTCATCCCATCCTCGTGCTGCCCGGGGCGTTCACCCCACGTTGCCCCATCCCATGGTGGCGGGTCAGACCTCACGCTACAGGGCTGGGTTTTGGGGTGCCACCCTCCAAGCACCCCTCTGCCGCCGGCCACAGGTGACCATTTGGGAAGCACTGACCAACAGCAAGCCGGGTACCCACCCCATGTCGCACGAAGGCCGCCGGGGAGACAGGTTGGTAAGGTCCGGCCAGTCCCCCCGGGGGGAGTGGGAGTGGGCGCCAGCTCCACAGGGACCCCTGCTGAGCTCCTGCCGCCCCCCAGGACTCCCCAGCACACGGCGGCCCCCCGGCCCCCCGTCACCCCATCCCCGGGGGGGGGCAGGGGGCCCAGCGCCCTGTTCCCCACCTACGCGGAGCAGCTGCGCCTGGCCATGGCCCTGTCGGCGCGGGAGCAGGAGGAAGCGGAGCGCCGGACACGGCAGGAGGAAGAGGATCTGCAACGGATCCTGCAGCTCTCGCTGACGGAGAAGTGACCCCGCGCCCCCGCTGAGCCCCTCGCCTGCCCCAGGGGAGCTGGGGACACGACCAGTGGTGCCGTGTCCGGGGGCACAGAGGGGGAGCGGGGTGGGGGGAGCCAGTCCAAGAACTGCGGAGAACAAATGGGGAGGCGGGGCAGGGTTTGGCCCTGGGATGGGGGAGAATGTTGCCAGAGCCGGGGCGGTGCTGGGTGGGGTGGGGGCACCCCACAGCAGGACTGGGTGGGGGTGGGTGTCAAGCCCGCACCTGGGGTGGCAGGAACCAGGAAGGGCAACTGCACAGACTGTACCCCTTCCCCAGGACAGCCCTGGCCCCCCACAACTGCCCTATGGGGTGCTGCTCAACGCCTCACCCCAGGAAGGTGTGGGTGGGCACATCCTGCCTTAGATGGGTGGGGTGCCAGTTGCGTGGGGTCCCAGGGTGCCCCCAGAGCCGAGGGGCTCTGCCCAGCCCCCTCTTCCCCCCCTTGCCCAGGCGCTACCAAGTGCACTTACCCGGGAGCTGCTCTGCCTGCCAGGGGGTGGGGGCTCGGCCCCATTGCACCCCATAGCCAGTGTGGGGCTGCACAGTCACCCCCCACCACGGTGCGGGGGGTCTGCTGGGGCAGCTGAGGGGGTGTCTGTGAGAGGCCACCCGGTGTCACCCCCCTTACCCTCTGCTCACACCCCTTCCCCCTGCTCAGATGCCCCCCTTGGCAGCGCTGCACCCCCTCGTCCCGGGCACTGACCCCGAGAGAAACCTTACGTCAAATGGTGCTAACCCCGGCCCCCCGCCCCGGCTGCTCCCCCTTTGCACACGGGGGGCCGGGGGCTGCGGGGTGGGGGGGCTGGGCTCGCTCCCCTGGGACTTTTCATAGCCAGTGCCCCACCCCACCCACGCACCCCACAGCAACATCTGGGCCAGGGCCGGGGGAGCCTGAGCAGCTCCAACCGCGGCCAACACCAATAAATGCTCTTTAATGTTTGTCTCTCTTGGCCTCCCTCCGCCTGTGCCAGGGGTATGTGGGCAGCAGGTGCTGGCAGGACCCCCTGGCATGGTGGTCCCTCGTCCCTGGTACCTGCCACACGGCCAAGGGTGGCTGAGCCCTTTATTAAAGGGGTCCAGGAGCAAAGAGCCTGTTGGAAGCACCCACCGAGGGGGCGATGGGGCAGGGGGAGGTGAGGGGGTGATGGGGTGGGAGTGTAGCACCATAGCCAAGCACATCCTGGCCAGGAGGGCCCAGCAGCTCCCCGTCCTGGGAGGATGCTGGTGCCCAGCGTGCAGGTCCCCACGGAGGGATGCTTGGCAGCCCCAGCCTGCGGGCACTGAAGCGGGACCCCCTTGGGTGCTGCAGTGGGGTGCCCATATGGTGGGGCACCCCAGGAGCAAGATGCAACTGATGCCAGTGGAGGGGAGAGGTCAGGGTCCAACCTCCTCCCTGCCCCTTCGGCTCCTGGGGAAAGAACATGGCTCTGGGCTCCTGCCCAATGTGGGGACTTGGCTTTAATCCCCGGCAGGCCGGGGCAGTCCTCGCCCTGCCCGTGGTCGTGGCCTTGGCCACCGCGCTAGTCCGTGCCGTTGGTGAACTGGCAGAGTTTGTTCTCCAGGTCGGAGATGCGCTTCTCCTGTGCTTGGACCATCTCCTTCAGGGCACGGATCTCCTCCAACACCTCCTCCAAGGCTGGCTGCTGCAGGGAGGGGAGACACAGGGTCACCAAGGAGTCTCCTCTGGCCCTTCCAACCCACTCCTGGACTAGGAGGACAGCTCTGCTGCCATCTCCCTGTCCCCAGGACACTCACAGAGAAGTCAGAGTCGCAGGTGGAGTGGCTGCGGCGGGGGCCTGGGGGAGGTTTGCTGTCCAGGATGTTCTTCTTGACCACCTTCAGCTCCCGGTTCTTGATGGGGACATACCCGTCCCGCAGTGAGATGAGGATGGGCTCTGCATCCTTCCCCGACAGCCACTCATCTGCCTCCAGGGCCGGCTCGGGGCCTGGTGTGTCGGGGTACAGGTCATCCTGGAAGAGGTCTGACTGCAGGAGGGAGAGATACCCCAGTGAGACGTGGGGTGTCCCCCCCCAGACCTCCCCTCTCCCCTGGGCCCCCCCTGGAGCTCACCTTGCGTGGCACCGTCATGACGATGGGCTCACACTTGCGCTCATGGAGCTTGAAGAACCTGAGTGGGGCAGAGGCAGTCAGGGTCCAGCTGACCCCCCGAGCCCTCTGGCTCCCCCCAGGCCCCCTTGCTCTCACCTGGCAATCTCACACTTGCTGACATCCAGCCCCCGCTTGGGCATGAAGCCCATGCCCCGCTGGGGCTCCTTGCTGCTGTAGGTGTTCAGGTAGTGCACGTAGGGTGCCTCGTCCGTGATCTCGAAGTACCGGATGCTGCTGTCACCCTGTGGGCATGGGGACGGGTGTCAGCCAGCCCCCCGGGGGTGGGGTGGCATGGAGGTGCACCCTGGGTGGGGGGTTACCTTCCCGCAGAGGTAGACAATGCTGGAGTCGGCGTCGTAGAAGGGCAGCAGGACCCCGTTGCTCGTGTCCATCTCCTGCAGGGCGATGGGCTCCTCGAAGTTATTCTGCAGGGCCGCAGTGGTGGAGGGGTGTGAGCGGTGGCCACAAAACCCCCACTCTGGTTAGTCACACACATTAGCCACAGCACACTGGGGGACAGGGCTTGTCCCCCTCCCTGGGTACACAACACCCCCGGGCAGGCAGCTTGGCATGCCCCCCCCAGACCCTTGCCCCACTCCTGTTTACCTGCATGGCTGGGTACCCCCCAGCCTGGCTATTTCCCACTCCCCCAGCACTCCCTGCCTCCCAGCCCCCTCCCCACCCCAGCACAGCACGGCACACTTGGGAACTTGGCATCTTTTGGAGGGGGGACGCAGCAAACACCCCATCCTGGGGTGGGAGAGGGTGGCAGGGGGTTGGGGGCCAAGTTCCCGGGGCAGCACTCCATGCGGCCTCGTTACCGGGTCCCACAAGCCCAGCTCCCGCTGGCTCATTCTGGTAAAGCCCGTGGTAAAGATGTGTCCTTCCCGCGTGAAGATGGCCCGCACGGGCCTCAGCCCTTCGTGGGGGGCAAACCTCTCCTGGGGGGGAGGGAGGACAGTCAGCACGGGGCATGGGAAGGGGGGAAAATGGAGGGGGTCCGGATCTGTCCCCCAGAACAGCTGCTGAGTCCTACTCCAGGGGAGCACACGATGCTCCCGGGGCACATGCCCTGCTGGAGAGTATCCCCGGCACCCAAAGCATTCCCGGCTGGGCTGAGCTCTGCAAGGTCGGCGCTGGCTGGGCAGGAGCTGCCGTCTCGTACCAGGTCCCAGAGGCCCAGCTGCCGCTCGCTCATCTTGCTGAAGCCCGTGGTGAAGATCTTGCCATCGGCCACGAAGATGGCGCGGATGGGCCGGGTGCCGTCGTGCGGTTTGGTTTTCTCCTGCGCCGGCGTTAGCGGGTTAAATCAAACACAGAGACGCGCGGGGCGGGGGTTAGTAGGGTCAGGCAGGCACTGGGGGGACCCCGCGGCGGGCTGGGGGGGACACGGCAGGGGCACTCACCGCTATGATCTGCTGCTTGCGGGGGTCGATGACACGGACCTTCTTGTCCTTGCAGGTGGTGACGAGGAGGCTGCCGTTGCGGTTCCAGCCCACGTTGTAGATGAGGTCAGTGTGCATGTCATCCAGCACCAGCAGCATCTCCCCCGTCCCCACGTTCCAGAGGATCACCAGGTTGTCACAGCCTGCAGAGGACCGAGGGGGCAGGTGCTGTCACCCCCCGGATCCCCTCTGACCCCGGGGAGGGCAACCCGGGACCCCCTTACCTGCGCTGAGCAGGACGTTGCGGGCGGTGGGGTGCCAGGAGATGATGCTCACCCGCTTGGAGTGTCCCTCCAGCGTCACCACTGGCTCCGTGATGTTGCGCACGGGGACATAGTCAGGGATCTGCCACACCTGGGGGAGGGACAGAGAGCGGGATGTTGGGGATCACCCCGCATGTGAGGGCTAAGCGGATGAGGGCCTGGGAGCCAATTAACCTCATCGTTAATCCCGGCTCAGCCTGCCGGGAGGGTGGCGAGGGGACGCCAGCAGCGCCTCCATCCTGGGGTGCATCCCCAGCACTCAGGGTGCTGGTGGGCACGGGGTGGGGGGCACGGTCGGGGCACAGCCCCCAGCCCCCCCCAGCTATTCCTGGGTGCTGAGTCGCCAGGGCGGGTATATTTAGCACAAACTGCTGCATCATGGAGCGAGCAGCCGCCGCCAGCGCGAACGCATGGCACCGGGGCTAAAAATAGGCCAGTGACACTCCGCAGGCAGGGAAGGGGGGAGGATGCTCTGCACCGCTCCCCCAGCGCCTGCTGCCCCCCCCCACTCGGGGCCCAGCCCCTCACCATGACGGTGGTGTCCTCCGAGGCGCTGGCGATGACGTTGTCGTTGTGGGGACACCAGTCGATGTCCAGCACGGGTGCCGTGTGTCCCGTCACCAGCGGGTGGTTCTTGTCCACCCGTCCTGTCTGCAACGTTGAGGTGTCAGGATGAGTCCCCAGAGGCTGGGGACGATCCTGCCAGGTGCCCTCGGAAGCCCAGCCCAGCCAGGGGTTGTGGCACAAGTGGGGACATGCAGGGGATCCCTGGGGGTGACCAGAGATTTGCACCCGCCTTGAAAGGGGAAAATTGAGGCACAGAGGGGTAATGGGGTTCACCTGGCATACGGCCCCATAGAGGGGAACAATGTACCCCTGAGAGACTGTTTTATGTCCCTTCCGATGGCACGGAGGGGCTTGGGACCCCCCTTGCAGTCTCTCAGCTAGGGTTGGCAGGGCAGACCCCACATCATGTGTCCCTGAGGAACTGAGGCTGGGGAGAAAGCACCTGGGGGTTTCCCACATCACCTCAGTTACCCCTGGGATGTTACTTTTCACAGGTGCTGATGATCGGCCAGGCTGCTCCTGCCCTGAGCCCCCACGTGAGGAGGGGGTGTTGGGGCAAAGCTGGGGGGCTCTGGGGTCACCCAAAAGCAACACCCATCATGCAGCCCCCCACAAGCAACACCCCACCAGCATGTCCCTCCCAGTATATCCCAGGGAGGCAGCCAGACCTCAGCATCCTCCCCGCTCACCTTGGCCAGGGGCAGGACAATGAAGGCCCCCCCGCCGCCAGACTCCACGATGATGGCCACAAACTTGGGGTTGACGGCGCAGAAGGAGCTGTCACATGTCACCTTGGAGACGCGGATGTCCTCGTACATCTGGTCGGCCTTCACCGGCTGCCCAAAGACGTGCCGGAACTTGCTCTGGCGCACCACGCGGCGGCTCATGGCTGGGGGCACAGGGTCAGGCCACCACCTCCCCACCCCGGCACAGCATGGAGGGCTTTTGATCCCCTCACACCTCGTGCTCAGAGTTACACCCTCTGCACTGAGCACAGCAGGAAGCCTGGGAACACCGAGGTGGCCGGGGATGCAGGATGGTGCCTGACGTGGCCCCGCCCACATGGCAGGGACTGGGATGTGGGGATGATGTGGGTGATGGGGGTGGGCAGCTGGTGGCCAAAGCCACTTGACACTGAGCATGGACACAGCTGTGCTGTGATGTGAGGGTGTGCCATGTGCCACAACTGTGCCATGTGCCATGGCTGTGCCCTAGCTCACATCTGTGCCATAAGCCACGGCTGTGCAATGCTCCACAGCTCTGCCATGCCCCTCAGATGTGTCATGCCCCATGGCTGTGCCGTGTCCCTCAGCTGTGCTGTGCCCCGTGCCTGGCACTGGGTTTGGCACACGAGCAGCTGCAGTAGAGAAGCAGGGCTGAGGGGACTTTGGGGTGGGCCTGTGACTGTGCACCAGCTCACAGCTTGTCCCCTTGTATCCCATCCTGCACCAGTGAGGCTGCCTGCCTTGACCCAGCACCCAGGAGAGAGGCTGTGCCTCCAGCGTTGCCTGTTGGTGGCTCACCCGTCCCTCCATGGGCCCCTGCCCTGCGGCTCCACATGTGCCACCCACTCTGCACCCCCACCCAGGCAAGGGCTGGACCTGGCATAGCCACACAGCCCCTGGGCACACCAGGGAGTGGGGGAGCCCCCCATTCTCAGCATGGCCCTGGTGGGGTCTCCAGCTCTCAGCCACAGCCAGGCACATTGCCCAGAGTCACCCATCTCTCTCCACAGCTCTGCTGCTCCTGGGACCTTCCCAGGGTGGGCACTGAGACACTCAGGACCCTGAAACCCCTGGAGCTGGGGCTCTGCAGCACTTGCCACTGGCTGTCCTGGGGACTGCCCTGGGTCTTCTGGGTCCACAGCCATTGCCAGGGGCCACATCCAGCCACCAAAACGCAGCCGGAGGGCCAGGCACCGCTGTCCCCAGCCCGCGGGGCTGATGTGGGCAGAGACAGGAGCAGATCTGCTCCTCCTTGTCTGAGAGGTAGCTTTTTGATAGGGCACATGCAGCGCCCAGCCAAGCTACATCTACCCAGTCCCTGGGTGTTCCTGGAGTCCTCATGGCACTTCAGCATCATCCCTGGCCCGGCTGAACGGGTTGGAGCTGGGTGCTAAGGGGCCCGGAGCCCAGCTACCAAGGGGGGCTGGACACCAGCACTGCTGGTGTCACCCCCATGGTCCCGAGCACAGTCCCCAGCCCTCGGGAGGAGGTCTCCAGAGATTTTGCAGCACCTCAACCATTGCCAGTGGGAGCAGAGTTTGGGGTGTCAGCATGCAGGCTAGGGGGGGCCGGCCTGGCTGGCTGGGCAGGGTGCAGGCAGGGTGTGGGGTGCAGGTGAGGGGCAGATGTGGAGCAGGCAGAGCTGCGCGGGGTGCCGGCAGCGTGTAGGGAGCAGGCTGGGGTGGGTGGGGTGCAGGTGGGGTGCAGGCAGGGTTCAGGTGAGGTGCCGTCAGGGTGCAGGCAGGGCTGAATGGGTGCAGGCGGGGTGCAGGCAGGGCTGAATGGGGAGCAGATGGGGTGCAGGCAGGGTGCTAGCAGGCTGCAGGCATGAGAATTGGGTGGGGTGCAGGCAGGGCGCCGATGGGGTTGGATGGGGTGCTGGCAGAGAGAGGTGGGGTCAGGCGGGGTACGGGTGGGCTGCAGGCTGTGTGCAGGCAGGATAAAGGCAGGACAGCCCCGCTCCCCGCTCCCGGCCGTGCCATTACGTTGCCACAATTGAATCCGCAGCGGCTGCTCGGGAACGACCAGAGGTCACTGTCCAAATATAGCCATCTCCGCCGGCGGCCGGCGAGGGGCCGGGGCCCGGGGGGCTCAGCCCCGCTCCCCGCGTCCCCCCGTCCCTTCCCACCGCGGTCCCGCCGCACCCCCACCCCCATCCTCCCGGCTCCCACCTGCGCTCGGCGGCTCCTCCGCGCCCGGGCGCGCCCGGCTCCGCGCTGCGCCCCGCTCGGCTCCGCTCCGCCCGCTCCGGCCCCGCTCAGCCCCGCTCCGCTCCCCCGGCCCGGCCCGGCCCCGCTCGGCTCCGCTCCGCCCGGCTGGGCTCGGCTCGGCTGGGCTCGGCTCGGCCCCGCGCGGTGCCGCTGCCGCAGAGAACAGCTGAGCCGAGCCGGGCGCCGGGGCCGGCACGGCCCCCCCGCGGCGGGCACCGGAGGGGAGGGGGGCCCGGCCCGGCCCCGCCTGTCCCCGCACCCTGCCCGGCCCCCCGCTCTGCCCGCAGGGATGGGGGTAGCCCCCGCACAGCCACCTCACACTCCCGCCCCAAAAACGGGGGACACACCAAGGGTGCCCGCAGACCCCCCAGCGCGCTGCGTGGGAGCCCCTCTGCCCAGCGCTGCGGGGGTCTGGTGGGGCAGGAGAAGCCCCCTGTGTCTTCCTAAACCACTGGGGGGAGAAGAGGGGAGGGTCAGCTTCGACAACCCCAGGCTGCCAAAACCCCGGGGGTCACCTCTGCCCAGGGCTGTGACCCTGCCATGGGTCCCCCCGCCCCCCGGGGCCAGCCCAACCCCACAGGGACCATGACCACGGGCTGCCCCTGGGGCTCCCAACACCCACGGCACTCCATAGGGTCCCCAGCTCCCCCAGGAGAAAGGGATCTGCAAACCCACGGGGTGAGCCCACATCAGTCCCAGCCCAGGACAGCAGGATGGTTGTACAGGCACATCCAGAAGCCAGATTTGGGATTTAGTGCAGCTCAGCCCCGCAGGGATGCCCTAGTCCAAAGGGATTAAGGGATTGTAGGGCTCAGGGACCAGAGGGAGGGGAGCAATGGTTCCTGGAAAGGCAGCAAAGCCCTGGACCCTACAAGGGCACCATGTGGAGCTGGACGAGCATTGGCTGAGCGGGCAGGAGGGGGCAGCTGGCAGAAAGGCAGGGAAAACATCCTTGTTCACCCAGCCAAAGGGGTGGCAGGGAGGGATGGGGGTGCAGAGGCACCCCTTGCCTGCCCCGCCCCACCATGGCCCTGGCTCACTCTGCCTTTGGGGATGGAGTGAACCCTGTGTCCCCAACTCCAAGCCACATCCTCAGCAACTGGAGAAAAGGCCACGCAAAACCTTTCCCCAGCTGGTGCTGCGGGGAGCAGGAAGGGATTGGGCACCCTGGAGACAGTGCCAGCCCCACAGCAATGGCCCTGCAACCCTGGCCCCACACCCTGGTGCCTGCTCAGCCCTGGCCCAGTGGGAAGCTCCAGGGAAGAGGAGACTGAGCCCGAGGAATTTGATGCTCTCAGTATTCCCTTGCTCACAAGGGCAGTGGAAGCTCACAGAGACCCTTGTGCCACTTTCTTACCAGAATGGGATAGAATGGAGCAAAACCAGTTCACCGAAGATGGGATTTTTCCCAATGCAAAGATCCACTGGTGCTGTGGTTATTTGGTGCTTGGATTTGGCTCAGCTCCTTGGCTGACCATGGTGGGTCTGGTTCAGTGTCTGGCTAAAACCTCACATCGCCCTTGGAGCTTAAACCCCAGGACCTTTCCACAGCTCTGCCTGCAGCAGTGCAGGGAGGGCACCCACGGCATCCCAACAGTTTTACACACACAACCCCCAGCACCTGTCCTGCAACTGCAGCAGGATCTGGAAGTACCCCTTGGAAGCACAGCTTCATCACCTGGGACAAGACAGACCCATCCTCCCTTCTGTCAGGGGATGAGTGAACACCCCACCCTGGCTCCCCAGATCCCCCCTGCTGCCCTGTGCTCCGAGAGCAGTGTAGATCACTCCTTGCCCCCAGCCCTGATTCCCCCAAACAAGGCCACACACCCACGTCATCTTCAAAATAAAGTTTTATTCATTCGGTAACAATAACATTGAATCTGCACATCAGTGCACAAGTTCACATTTAAAAACAGCTGAGCACATCGGTCATAGAGTCTTTAGGGGAAAAGGGGACGATCCCAGCCACCAAGGAAGATCCAGGAGGGGCAGACAGAAGCGCTCCCCTCCCTGGTTTGCAATCCCCCCACCAGCTGCCCGGCCCTGGGCGATCCCTACAAACCAGCGCACGGACGTCACATCTCCATAAAGGAAAATAAAAGGCACTGGCACCTTCTCTTGTGCCAACAGAGATGTCTGCAGTGCGGGCTGGTGGCACCTCTGGGGGCACTGCCTGACCCTCCTGCGCCAGGCCAGAGCCTCTGCCCCGCACCAGCAAGGGCTTGGGGGTCCCTCCCTTAGGGAGAAGTGGGGGGGTCTTGCGTGGAGCCAGGACCAGATTAAGGCAGGACGCACCGTGCGGGGAGCAGGGACCTGCAGCGGGTATGGCTTCCTCCTGCCAGCGGGCCAGGGGGAGCTGTGAGGCTCTTGGAGCCCCCGGGCAGGTGCAGTGCACCGGTGCTCGTGGATTCCAGGCAGCTCACTCCTTCCAGGAGGTCCCCGGAGCAGCTGGAGCTGGGGCGGGTTCCCTTCCACCAGGCCTTTGCTGGCAGAGGGACACGGAGCTAATCCCTGCTCCGTTCAACATCCAAGTGACCCAGAAGCGGCGTCACCTCCTGCCACCCGCTGGGACCGTGCCCCAGGAAAGGGCCGAAAGGGGGGGAGATTTGTACATGTCACAACTTCTCAAGCAGACCAGACACACACACACACACACACACACACGCACGCACACACCACCGAGTGCAACAGAACGCAGTGTAGAACCAGTTTCACGCACACGCAGTCCGTTTGTGCAAGGCTCACACGTTACAGTACGGCCGAGACGGGAGGCGATGGCTGGGGTATTGTACAGGAGTCAATGTAAACAATAAAGCGTCCTCCGAGAGGCTTCGCGAGAGACCAAAGAACGGTTGCTTTATACAAAAATGCCCTTAGAACACGTTTCCTCCTAAAACCCCTCTATCCGCGAGGCTCGGCGGCCGCTGAGCACGCTGGAGGTGCTGCTCCCCAAGGTGCTGAGCGGGGCACAAGCAGCTCTCACGGGGTGGTCACAGGAAGCAGGAGTGAGTCACCACCCTCCCATGAGCCACCAGCATGGAGAAAGGGACAACTGTCCCCAGGCAGAGACCTCTGATGCCAGGGGTTTGGTGGCTTCATTGCCCAGACACCGGTCAAGGAGGTCCAGGCCCCTCCAGTCCGTCCCCTTCCTGCCATCCTTTTCTCAGAGCCTCCAGACCTCCAAGGCCTTCATCACTCTGCAAGAGAACCACCATCCCTGGCTCTGCCTGCCCACAGCCTTCCCAGAGAAAAACCAGTTGTGCTGGGCCGGAGCCCAGGACAAGGGGACAGCAAAGCACCTCCCTGCAGGGGCCTCTGCCCCTTCGCTGCTCTCCCCAGCTGAAGCACCCAGAGAGCAGCTGAGTATTGGAAGGAAGCAGCATTTCTGGTCTGCATGGAAGACCCTTCCTAGAGGGCATTTCTCCTGAGATCAAGCTGGGCAAAGAAACCCAATCCTCTTCCTCCTCCTCCTGCCTTCTCAAGGGAAAAATTTTACACAGGGCTTTCCCCTCCCCAGCAGATCCTTTTCACCAGGACACAGCTGACAGCCAAGCTTGCTCCCTCCAACACAGGGCAGCCTT